CATAGAACCTTGCTGAAATTTGGATCTCACACTAGTTGATAGAAAATTCCCCATTAAAAAGGCAATTTTTTCCTCAAACAATAGTCAATAGGAATATGGTTTCTCTCATAATCTTGGAGACAGTTCCTATTGAAATATAACTTAATTTTTGTGCATGTAAAAACTCAGTTTGATTAACGAAAACAAACAGTTTTCAACACTGAATTTCGCAAACAGATTACCTAGATTATTTTTCGGTTTAATATGGAGGCATTGAAGCAAGCATCTTCATTTTTTCAAGAGAAATACAAAGTTGCTAGAATGGTTTTTACAGATGTTACTCCTACAGAATTGTAAGTTTACTTCTCTATCTCATTTTTTTTAAGTAAATCAAAATTTGATCCTAATATCATTAGGCTTTAAATCAATTATTTCTCATGAATCTTCTAGTTCAAAGTTGTTCTATATTGTTATGATTTAACACATATATATCTATGGCTGGATCACACTCTTTTGTTCATGAAGGTTGGCTGAAGAAGCAACGAACAATGATCCAGGGGGACCGGATGCCATGACCATGACTAGAATTGCCGTGGCATCATTCAAGGTAGACGATTATTGGAGAATTGTTGATGTTCTTCATGGAAGGTACGTTATGAATTAGCAATCTAAAATTAATTTTAAAATGTTTAAACTCTCCTAATGTCTACATTGTCACACGTTTATTTTGTTGAGGTAATCGAAAAAATATGAGATTATATATGCAGGTTTTATAATGTTAATTGGAAGCAATGGAGGCAAGCATACAAAGCACTGGTACTCCTTGAGTTCTTATTAACACATGGTCCTGAAGAATTTGCTGAGGAATTTGGATCTGATGTTGATGCTATTGAAGAGCTTCGAACATTTAGATACACAGATGAGAAAGGGTAATAATTCTTCTCACCCCTTGTTCTTCTTCTTTTTCATTTTTCCCTTCTAATTTTTTCTAGTAGTCCTTGTAGAAATACATGGTAATGAATTGATCCCTAAATTGAAGTTGATATCAATTTTGCCCCTAAAATGATTCCCCGGTATTATCATTTTTTTTTTTTGCTGCTAATCAATCTGTTTTATTGGTCCTTGTATAATCTTTGGACTATCTTAATGAACAATTTAACATTTACAACATGAATTTATAATTCTATGCTTCCAATGTAACAATGGGAAAAGTTGTTAGACACAAATGAACCTGAAAAAGGTTCAACAAAAATTTAATATGTAATGTTCTCAATTTCTTTTTCTTTTTCTTTCTCAGGTTTGATTGGGGTCTTAACATGCAAAAGAGATCAGAGAAGATATTAGATTTGCTAGCGGGAGGAGAGACCCTAAGGGACGCAAGATTAAAAGCTCTCAAAATTACAAAAGAAATCCAAGGATTCGGAAACTCTATGTTGGATTCACCGTCCTCATCTTCATTCTCGAGTTCACCGAGAACCACATTGAACTATCCAAACGAATCAAACAAGATCGATAAGCTACTATCAGAGAAGAAAAAAACACAAATTTATCTCAAAGGAGGAACCAAAGACAAAGAAGATGGGCAAAACCTTTCTTCCTCAAGGAATGAGGAACTTGAGGGGTTGAGTGAGTGGGATGACTCTACAAGTGAAGAAACAGGGTCATTGTTGGATCCTGAAGGTGGAGAAAACGAGAAATCCAATGGATTTATTAGTGGAATTTGCTCAAAACTTGCTAGCTTAAGTCCATCCAAAAAATACTCCGGTGAGAAAGTAGTCCTCAGAAGTTTCTCTGATGTTGGAAGGGTTAAAACACAGAAGAAGTTTGATCGCCAATATTCCTCTAGGTATTGATGAAGTCATGATTTGGAAAATAATTCTCTTTTGTAAGGTTATATTCCAGTATTTTATTTTTGAATTGTGATTATAAAATTAATTGCACTCACATCATTTATGAATAACCAACACCAGTTTAACAATTTCATGATATGTAACTTATTTTTCTTCTGAATTAAGAGGGGTTTTAAGTTTAAATTATATGGTATCTGTTATGCTCCATATCTTCCATTGAAAAAATAGTGTGATTTTTATATATGTGTTAAGATCAACTATTACTAACAATAACTATTACTAATAATTTGAATTTAAGTTTGAAATATTAAATCTTTCAACTTGCTTGACCAATGTGAGATTTAGGATTGATCGCCTCAATAGGTAAAAATAAATAGATGAAAGAGTGCTTTGACAAATTGTGTAACCACAATGAATTAATATCTTTTAGATTTTATCATATTTGATAGGTCATTGTTTTTCTTCGAATTAACAATTATTATTGATTGATGTATGGGGCATACATAAATAGAATAAAAGTTAAGGATCACTAAATATGTGAATCTATATAAAGATAGTATGGGAAATTCTCAATTTTTA